ACAATAATGCAATGATCGTTTATTTTATCTAGAATCAGTCTTCTCGTGATATCGATATTTTTTCCTGCCGGGTTCATGATCTCGCGTTTTGACATTACATTGTCGTTTCGTCGAGGCAGCTGCGGCATACTGTTTTACGTACGACGAACTTTCGACATGAATAACCGATGGCTAATAGGTATTCCGGCATTCTCCGCGGTTGGTCCGTCGGTCCCCTTAGCACTCGTTGAATTAATAACAGTTGCACGCCGCGCGTTTCCAAAACGGATGACATCGCCGCGCGAGTAAGAGCCGTGTATACAGGGCCGAGTTCCTTATTTCTCACAACTGTGCAACCACTTTCGTCGGAGATATATACGAGAGCACGTAAAGGAGAGCTACGGGTTTTCTCGAGTTTGCGAAGACAACAGCTGTACGCTCGCTGAAATATTAAGGAGAGGTAGATCCTATGGACAACCCTTTCGGAGGGATCCAATCGATAAAAGAAATAGTACGGTTCTTTAACCCCGTGTAGTTCGATACATGTACCTATACCTGCGACGTTTTGTTAAAATGTATATAGACGCGCGAGCAATGGCGACAGCGGTCATCGGCTTGTAATAATATGTACGTTGCAGATTGCACGATATTGTATCTATATATATGTCATTTCATTAGAATTGTGTGAAGGAATGACTGCAGTCTTTATACTTTATAAAGTTATTATAGTATATCCGCGGAAGAATTATATTTTTATACTTTCTGTAAATAAATTTAAACTTTTTGTATAATTAAAAACAATTGTACAAACAGGTATATGAAATGAGATATTTGTACAATGTTGTACCTCGAAAGTACCACATGGGAAGATTTATATTTTTATACGTTCTTCAAGTAAAGTAACTTCTTGCACAATTAAAAGCAATTACAGAAATATAAGATAGAAGTAAATTTATAAAATAGTTAGAAATTGATTTATCACATTGAGAAAAATTTCTGGCAATCTAATTTATTACTTTAACTTTAACGTATCCATTTTTCATTCCAATTCCGATTAATGCAAGTAGACTCTTTTAAATGCATCTATAATTCGCATAATAAAATCAACGGCAGAATGTGGTATGGTTAAAAATAGATTTATCGTGTATAATGTGCGCAATAAAGTTATATCACTGTGCGAAATAATTTACACGGTTCGTACTTATTTTTGTCCTCGAAGCAAACCGCATGATAGGAGGAACGTGTCAATTTTTCAAAAGGTTCCATATAACAAGGTTTGAAATAGAAGTGCGATTAAATTTGCGCCGAAGGAATTATATAACGATCGACCGTCACGGTGCCAGCACTGGCTGGTCTTTGCAGCGACCGAAAACGATGATGACCCGCGAATGTGGTCATGCGGATACAATCCGCATTTTAGCCGCATCGCCAAAATGGCACCGTGGCGCCTTCAATTTATCCAACGCGCGTGACTTCGCGAGTGTTTCACGCCTTGCACGAAGTTCATTTGCGAGCAAATGTCGCGGATTACGCCACCCGCTGCCGTCGGATTAATGATTAAATCGTCGGCCGCGTCGTCGCGCTATTCGCGTATTCTGTCAATCGCATTGATCATCGCGCGACATATTTGACGATACGCGTTAAGCGTGTTTATCGTCCGGCGTTTAACGGCCGCAGCGCGGAAGCCAATTACGCGCGGTGTCTGTTTGCAATCGGGCAATATTCATTGTCACCGGTTTGCAAGTCGCGCATAATCATACGTGACGCGACATTGTTTTTAATTACGCCTGCCGATTATCTCGTTATGCGAATTGTGATTTCCACTAAACGTCGCTCGACGCCAATGCGCCAATATGTAGCCTATGTACGTTATGTTATATTATAATGTAGACAGAGATGGATAATATATAATGTGCGCTACGCGAGGAAGTCGATCCCATGTATTTGCATTCCAAACTGACCAATTAATATTAGTCACAATTGATAACATGTCAAAGAGAGATAAAGCGAAAAACTTAATTATATTTTATCAAGTTTATCGATTCTCTCTTTGGAGCTCGTGTGTATAGGTTTGCATATTTTAGCAAGAACTTTCACACATATTTTCTCAACTGTAGAAAAAATTCGAGTCTCTCAATATTAAAATCGCGACTCTCCCATTCAGCTTGTTCGATAATGATTTAACGACGCGGTAAGCTACGCCTTCTAATTTTTCACGTAACCGCGAATAAACGAGCATCCTAGTCAGCGGCGCGGCGGCCACGCGCGTTAATAATTCCGCAACGGCGGCTTATCTAGATGTAGCGTGATATACAACGTGCTACACGCAGAGAACAAGCATGTGGTAATTTATTATACTCACAACCGTACACCTTGGAGTCGATACGACGTAATGTCTACTAAGACCTGTCTCAAAGCTTGATGATAAAACTCGCCTACTTTATTTCTTCATTCGCTTTCGCTCGAGCGGAGATTTTCGCATGAAGGTTCTTTTTCACGTCGCCGCTAACGCAAAATTAGTGGTTGCTGAAAGAGGTTCGCTCAACAAGACGCCAACGTAGCTCGCTGCTAGGATCGTTAATGAAACAACACGTACTTTCTTCTGTTATTTTCACCATAAAATATCGACGAAGTATAAGAAAGCAAGAGCCATGTATTGTTTCCTCACTCTGTATGTTGCTCTCCTTTTTTCTCTTGTATGGTTTCTTTCGTGTTGTGGAGCTCCCTCTCTCTCTCCCTCTCTCTCTCCGTTCTGTCCCGAATGGTACGGAACGAGCGCGTGGGTTCCTTTTTCCCGAGGGCGACATAAAGCCCGGGACAAATTGCTACGTGTGTTTACGTTAAATCGTTTAAGCACGTTGCGCTTGCACGGGCTCGAAGGGATCGACTCTCTCGTAAAGGCGAGAGATAACCATCTGCGAGTGAGGGCCATCGGCATAAGTCAAGCTTCGACGTCGCGCCGAACCGATATACATGTGAGTATAATGCATAATGGCACACACCGGTGTATAGATCCGGATTAAGGCCATTCGATGTTGCAGCCACCTTAATGCCCGGCATGGAGCGCCTTAAACGTTATCGCGATGCATGCCGAACTCCAATCGCGCACTAATGTGTATACTTTGTGTACACGTTAATCCTTTCCCGTAGGGTATCATTAATTACGGGCAAGTGCCGTGGGGATTTTCTTGTCTAGTTGAACGCGAGATACTTAGAGTAAACAGAGCGAAACGCGAAACTTTTCGTGGACAGACGTTCAAATGCGTTATAATGTTTGCCAAGGCGCGTCGCTCGGATTCTCCGGAATGTGATAGGTCAGTGGGAAAATATTTGCAGCTTTGGTATATCTCGATGCTTACACTCTGATAGCAAATGCCTAAAAATACAAAAGCTTAACTCACGTTAGGAAAAATACGACTTTCTTCTCCAAATAATGTCTGTCACCCCCAACACATTTATAAACAAACAAAAGTAGATGTGTATAAAGTTTTCACCCAAGACTTTTCTCTCTGGCGGAATAAAAACTGACGTGGCACGCAAGCACGTTCCGTATACTCTTCTACGATCTATTTACGCCAAGTAGCAGCAAGGTATCGCTTGTCTGGATGTGTAACCAAGCGATTTGGAAACTCGTTTACCGTTACACCCACCCTCGTATACGAAGTCGTGAGGCTGGAGGACCGTGTCACCGACGACGACGCGTCTAAACTCGTTCTCGCGGTTGGATCCGATTTCACGTTTGAGCGAATCGGCAGTGATCGACCGTAGGAAATACCCATATGTTCCTGTAAGGATCCTCTCCTAGGATTTCCCTCCTCGATCAAGCGGACGCTCGAGCGATATTCATGCGGTCCTTACCAAAGCATCACGGTGGTAGACAAGGTGCGATAACAATGACCTCGAGGCTAACGGCTGGCTTTATGACGCACCATGAATAAAGGGAGTAGATGAATATTGAATCGTCAAGGAACGGATGTATCGACATTTCGTGCACGACAATGCCTCCTCGAGGCACCGACAAGTGCTTTGATTTTATCCAAAGAGATATGTCCCAGCCATAAACGGGAGTTTCGTTTAAAAACAAATGGTTCTCGATCATCCTTTTATTCTCGACTTGGATCGTCGTCGATTACGTCAATGATGTCCCAGTACGATGAAGGGTTGAAGTGCTGCAAAAATGAATAAGCGCGTTTTGTAATCGTCAACTTTGTGAAAAATTATATACGCATACACGCTTCTTTTATAATGTACATATTATTATTAAAAAAAAAATATATATATATATATTTTGCTGAAAAGAATTCCGAGAAAATCTATTTTGAGAAAGAATTATTTTATATTCAATGCCAGAGGTAAAAAGCAAGGATTAAACGACTTCCATGGCGGATATAAGAGTTAAAGGGATGCACATTTTGTGCAAGAGTGATACGTCGATCATCGCTCGACGCGGAAGGAGAACATTCGCGGAAGAAAGCGCAGCCTCCGGCATCACCACCACTACTACTCTATCACCACCACCACCATCCACCATCAACGTCACCACCACCACTACCACCACCACCGCCGTCGTCGTCGCCGCCGCTGCCGTCGCCGCCGCCGCCGCCGCAGATACCGCCACCACTGGTAGCAGCAGCAGCGAGCAGCAGCACCCCCGACGACAAGGGGATGAAGAAGAGCATAGGTATCGAAGTGAGACGTATATATATGTATATATATATATATAGAGGTGCGCGCACGTCGGCAAGTTCAGTCGTCCACCGCGTGCCGACCCGCGAGCATCGTGTAACCACCCTCCCTTAGCGGATTCCTCGTTTCCCTCGTTTCGTTCGTTACCGGGTGCTAGGGTCTCGAAGCCGGTCACGTGTCCCCCTCCTTTCGCATGCTCGAACGCGAGTGCAACCATGCAAGTGCAAGCACCCTCGTTCAAATTCGTCATGTAGTCTTCGAGATGAGCGATTAATTATTTATGGCATTTTTCAAGGAGACGGGATTTCCTTTTGCAAATTAAATAATTCAAAACGTGGGGCAAATATGATCGTCAATCGTTGGATTGATTATACGGTTTTTGCGTACGAACAGAGAATCGAGATCTGTTCTGTCTTCATTCGATCAAAGGCGAGTTCGATCTGTTTCGATACATCGTTCACCAATGATACACGACCGTATATTGTGGATACTTGTTAAAATTATAGAAAATTTTCAATGAAATTTGACACAATGATCACCGGCTATGAAGCTGAAATTATTTATGAAGAACGATGTCAATAAACATGTCAGCGTAGAGTATAAAATTTGTTTGTGCCTAATTTCTCCAAGTGATATCGAATAAAAGACTGGGTTGAGTGAAATGTGAGGTAATGATGGAGCTGAGGATCAGTATTCTTCTTTTAACGCTTCTTCGTCTTGCCAGCACGCTCGAAAGTGAGTAACGAAGTATAAAGTAGTAAATTTAAATTATGATAAAACTTATTGTCAGCCTCAATATTATAAATCTATTATTCGTAAATCTGCTATTATATGTAAATTAATTTATAACAGACATTTTGAATTTGCACGTAATGTAACTATATCTTGCATGACTTGAAACTGGATGGCTTATTTCATAAAATAAGAAAAAAACTGGTTTACCAAAATTTCTAACGCCTTTTCAATGTAAGCAACTTTGATTTCGGCTCAACTTACTCTGCTTACTTGCTTCATCTTTTTCTAATTCTTAAAATTAAAAAAAGATGAAGAGGAAATTAAACCAAGATTAAAATTAGACTACGTTGATATAAACAGGTATAAATATCAGGCAAAGCTCTACAGTTAGCAATGTGGAAGTACGTCGGCACTTTCCGGAGCGACCAAAAATTCATTTCGCCCGCTTCCGGCCGGCGTGCATGGCCATACGAATCATGCCGTAAATTTACGCCTCGCGTTTCTCGCGAAAGCCCCTCACTGCGGATCGTGACATGTTTTCTCATGAACGTGACAGCGGGGGTAATCATCGTCCGCCGGCGCTTGGTTTACCGCGACCACTTAAACAAGAGAGGTGCAGTTACTCGGGGTGTAATAAAGTTCCCGCGAGACTTAGGAGAGCGAGACGGCGAACACGAAGCGTAAAGTCCAGGAGATCTAAGCGCGAGCGTGCCCGTGTTGGCTGATACACGACGTAAAATCCGCCATGCATCGTTAAGCCCGACTTTACTGTTCTATCGTATCTGACTCGACGTCTAAATATACCGCGACATTGCGCGTGTCTTCGAATAACGATACATTTTCGAGAGAAGACGATCGTGGTATGTACGACGTTATTGGATCCGATAATGCACCATTAGTAATTCGATAACGCGTATCCGTCGATATTTCTCTTTATCGTGGTGACGCGGCTTAATCTCTCCAATGCACCAACGAGCAGCGATGATTTAATTCAATCGATTTGATATGAAAAATTTGAGGACGTATTGGTAATGCCGCCACCGAGGGATTATATCTGACGGTTTTATCGGATTTGCGGAATGAACCGCGCTGGAATTATCAATTTTTTTTTGCTCACAAAAGGGATAAGCGTATGTTGCTTGCTAGGTACGAAAGAAGAGGACGACGCCGAGGAAGATGACGAGGAGAGTTATCCTGTCGAAGATTATGACTATGGTGATTATGAAACTGCTACTATAACCAGTGATACCGATCTCATCGCTGGCGGTTCTCTACCGATTTTCTTGGCGGAGCCAGTCGATACGTTTGTCGTCAAGGGGAAACCGGCGACGTTGCACTGTCGTGCCGCGCATGCTCTTCAGGTATGCATTTATTGCAATAATATACATCTATACTTATATCGCTCTCTTATTTCACAAGTGAGACAACTCTAAAATTAAGTTTCTTAGAAAAAGAAAAAAGTTCTCATGAGAGCCAACAGGTGATCGCATTTATAAAAAATATATTAATAAAATTAATTATTTACAAATTTTAATATGTTATTCAGTATCTTTCTAAGAGGTTTATGAGCAAATTATTAAAGTGTTAGGCAATTTAATTTGTGGTATTATATTAATGTAGTTTAGCCTATCGAGTTTGTGTTTCAAGATCAAAAAATCAATTTGGTGCGCAATTAAATGACTACGTAGGTAGTATATATAAGTTCACATTGAATTATGTATGTAAGTACTTATGATCCAACTTGACTGTTTATTCTTTATTAATTGTAATAAAATAAAATTATAGACATTTTTCAACCCTTAAGTTAAATCCTCTTCAGTATAGTATTTACAAATTATTAAAAAATAATTATTTCACTCTCTTTACAATAAATTAATAAAATTATTAAAATAAATAAATACGGAACGTTGTTGAATCAGAAATTATTATAAGTCCAGAGATAAAAAATAATAACTTTCTTTAATACTATTATATATTTGATGAGAATACTTAAATCATGAGCCTGACACAGAAATTAAACTGAACATTAAACAATTATTATGAAACTATGTCGTGTAATATAAATTAATTGAAAACATTGATTAATCAAGTCATATCGGCAAAAAATATCTAACACGATCACACATCACACAAATGTCATTTTTGTCAGTTTGCAAAAACTACTCTTAAAAAACTACTTTTTTTAAATTGACGATTTTAAAGATTTTTTATAAATTTTAGTTAGTTTATTTTTAATGACTGATAGTATAATGCCTAAATCATTCAATAACTCGACAATCATGTTTTTTAAGTTATATCACTTGTAAAGTAAAAAAGCGATATATAATTCAAGTTTTTATAGTCTTGATCATGAGAAAGTATAAAGCACTTTTAGTTTATTGCATTTTTTGGAAAAAGTGGTAATAAAAGCTGTAAGATTAGCAAACTATTAAAATTGTTATAAAAATACATTATTTTTAAACTGTTTTTTTAATTTAATTTTTATTAGATATGAACCGATAATTTGTGTGGGTGCTTTATATTTATAACCAAGGCTGTGTAATACTTAACATAAAAATTTATTTCTGTGTTATATATTTTCTTATTATTATTACATTACTTTGTAGTTAATCTGTATTATATGAATACATGGAGGTATCATTTTCTAGACGCTCTTATACTCAATCTCTCCGTTAGAGCTTTCCACAAAATGCTTTGTCTTTATCTCCTTCTTGACTCGCGTCTCGTGCGCAGCGCTCTTCTCGTTCTTATTACCCACTTAGCCGCAATTTAACGAAGACAAGCTGTTTCTTTCATAGCTTTCATAGCACGCGAAACTATACACTCCGCCGGCTCTCCGCCGCTTTTTTCCGCAGGTGTATTTTCGTTGCAACGGTGACCGGGCCGAACGTTCGCAGCAGCAGGATTTCGTCGACCCTCGTACCGGAACGAGGGTCGTCGAGGTCGAGTTGAACGTGACAAGGAACGAGGTCGAGGAGTACTTCGGTAGGGAGAGATTCAAGTGCGAGTGCGTGGCATGGTCGGGACCAGGTCAAATTCGAGGGCAGCCCGCTACGGTTGAGGTCGCCTGTAAGTAGAGAGCTCTCCATTCTCTTTCTATCTCTTTCCGTCCTGCTCGCTCTCTTTCCTTGCTATCCTCTATCCCCTGTCCTCCCTCGATTCTCTTTGAATGTTCAGTTTACCGACACGACGAAAGGATTTTCTTTCTCTCGTTGCGGTAATGACCATGCCGCTCGTTTCCGCGGTACGGGAGGTGTTCTAACTCAGCAGATTACGTCACTTTCGCTCACATTAGTACGAGGGGAATAACAAGGCCTTTTCAATGGACTATAACAACATTTAGAGCATTCTTGTCATTTATATGTGTCAATATAGACTGCAAAATTATTATGATTTATATCAATATCTAAAATATTTACTAGCATTTCTTTTATATATAATTATACCTGTAAAAAGAGTTATCTCAAAAACATCTCGCGCAAATTATATTGTATCAGATATACAGCAAGCAGTCCTCGAGTTGTTTTACCGTTATTTAGTAACTTTATTAATATAATTTCCGTAACACGATTTTCATTTGAAGCTTTTGAAGAAACTCGACCGTAAAGCTCAGCATCCCTTTCCCCCGCACCTTGTAGCAAAAAGAGAGCTGGAAGATAGAACAAATTAAAGGGACAAAGCGGACGCGATTCGGTTTTCATCAAGTGTCCTGTGATGCGCAAATCGAGTACAAAATCTAATCGATATTCTATCGCAAATGAAACGACAGACGCGTAAGCCCCAGAACAGCGTTGCATTTTTTTTCAGCGTGGAAACGGGGGAGGACCTCTGTTATTCATTGCTGAACACTCGCGAGTTATCAAAGCTAAAATAAAGTCGCATATACATCGCGATAAGCCATATGAAAAGTGTATTTTGGTATTTCGTGTATGTGGTTCCAATAACGATGCGGGATTGCTTCGGGATTGGACGCTTCGTAAAAGGTGCAACGCAAGAGCAATTTTCATTTAGACATTTTGAGTCGCACCACGCCACGTAAACAAGCGTGGCAAACAGGATGCAAAATTAAATCGGTATTTGCGTGCAAACAGAAAGCGGACGCGCTTTCGAAATTGAATGCAGGATGTCGATCGAATCGATGTGTACGATTCACCGTAGAGAACTATTTTCTGCACGATCTTATTCTATTTCCGAATAAACGAAGTGTCGATAATTAATTTACCAGATAATACGACCTCCATTGTGTTGTTTATGACTGTGTTAAATGTTTTAACATTGTATATAGAATATATTTGGACGCGACGACGACGAAAGTAAAGTGCTTAAAAATTGAACGATTAAATCGTATAATGAAAGTTCGAAATAAGAATTTATTTCCGAACAGCTCTAAGTAGAAATGATTTCAATGAATTATTTACGAATTGTCATATAACACTCGCGTGTGTAAATATGAATGGAAAAGAAATATTAGACGCCAAAGGGTTTGCAGATTGTTGCCCCGTCGATATTCATTGCTAATGCCAATGTTTCGCGCGTGAATCTTGCCGTTCACTTCAGGGCGAGAAGCGCACTGTTACTCACTGATACTCCCTGATATTATCAGTGCGTTTCTCGTCTTGATAAAGATTCAGAAACATTGGCATTAGCGATGGATCGCAACACAGTAATATAGTCTGTAAATCCTTTGGCAAGAAAATATCCATGAAATATCCTTAAAAGTATATATTATTAAGAAATATTAGATTTTTTTAAAAAGCGTGAACACAAAATTTAATGATACATTAAAGTTATACATGGTATGACGTACCTATTATATGAAAATGTTTCGTATATAAGCCAGTGAAGGCAACGTAAGCTGGAATGCATTTGAATCGGTCTAGATGGTTCAAACGCGGCATACTTTGTGATACCGGACGTATCATCCATCAGTCCGGTCTGCATACCGTGGCATAGAATTCCGTAGCTTCTAAAGCGCGTAACCGCCACATCGAGGTACTATATCGCGGTTTCGGTCGGTGCTTATGCTCTTCACAAGCGATATGAAAGCGTCGCTTTTTAAACATGGACGTCGTGTAACAAATAATGGACGCGACAGACAGCCGCAACCGAACGAATGACCGTCGTTATGCATTCCGTGGTTCGCGCCCTGGCTAAATCTTTTTCCGTCTTTCTGATGAGGGAAGAACCGGACAGAAACCGTGTGAATGGCCTTTCGCGTCTGTACGCGCGTTCTAATATCGCTGAGTGCCACTCTCTTTTCCATTCTCATTTCCCATTTCTCGTTTCGACGTTCCTCTCAAACGTGTTTCTGAGCGAATATTAAAAATTGCCTGGTATCGGTCGACCTAATCGTGTCGATGTAGATCTGAAGAAGCACTTCCTGTCACCACCGTATTCGCTGTCGGTGGAAGTCGGCCGCAATGCGGAACTGCGATGCTCACCGCCTTTGGGTGTACCATCGCCAAAGGTTTATTGGCTTAGGAATGGCTCTCCTCTTGAGACGGCCGCCGCCGGCGCAACTTCCGCCTCCGCCGACGCGAACCCCAACGAGATGTCCTCCGCGACTGGCTTTGTACAATCCGCCGACGGGCATCTGATCCTCGGGGAAGCCGAATTGAAGCATCAAGGGAACTATTCCTGCGTCGCTGAGAACATCGCCGCGAGGAGAGTCAGCGAACCGGCGGTACTCACCGTCTACGGTAAGCTGTTTTCTTTTTTTTTTGTACAAATTGTCGGATGGATGCGGTTAAAGAACGCTCGTGCGCGATAATTGAGGAAGTAGATAAAAATGTTGAGAAGCTTACGATTTTACAATTTATCTTACAAAAATTGAAAAAAGCTCTTTTTATCTTGGTTTATTTAAAATATTATTGTATATAGGAAAAAAGAAGTATAAATGAGAAATCTAGAAGATTCAATCACAAGTCAAATATTTATATTATAGTAAAATCTATCAAATGTTTTATTCGAGATAACTAAAAATTTAATCGCGATAATCAGAATTCGGATTAGTATGATTAGAATCTATATGTTTTACTTATACTTCTTGTTGACTTAATCAAACTTCCTCAGTATATTATGAGCATATATATATATAGTAATTCTATTGTATATTTGTTGCATTACAAAAATGATAATTTTATACTCTCTCTAAAATCTTTGAAATCTAATTCTAAAGAGGGCAAAGAATAATAATTGAAAAAGAATGACTCAATTATCAATTTTTAAAAGTGAGATTTTACCTTTTAGATTCCACTCCAAAGATTTTAGAGAGCATAATATAATCAGTATATGTTATTGTATTGTACTACGCTTTATTCATTACATATTCATAGCTCCTCGTGATCAACTAAATTTGTAATGTAAAGCTGCGCTTGCAGATTTCACAATGATTACAATTTGACTTTCTTATTTTTAATTGACGTTGCGTTGGATAAGCAACTCACTCATGTCTTAGTCTGTTCGAGCCGCGGGGTGTAACAAGGTGTTATTTGTTCCCGTTTTAATTTCGCCGGTTATCCTTGTTTTTTTTTCTCTTCCCGATCCATTCTCAGTGAACGGCGGGTGGTCGTCCTGGTCCGGATGGTCAGAGTGCAGTGTTCGCTGTGGTAGAGGCGTACAAAAGAGGATAAGAACATGTACAAATCCTGTTCCAATCAACGGCGGTCAAATGTGCCCAGGGCCAGCTACACAAAGGGTAGAATGCAATCCTTCCTGCCCCGGTAGGTGAACTACAAAGACTCACTCATGCGTCACTTATAATGTAAAGTAAATTGTAATAGTGTGTCGCAAAGTGTAATAGAATATAACTTAATGCAAATACAAACCCCCCCATTATTGACATGTACTAAACGTTTAAGCGCACTACAAATGTGCGTCCCAATCGAGATACGCGATACAGATGTATTCATTCTTTTGCCATCTCGCAAATCAGATAATCGCAATTTAATCGAGATTTTCAACTTCGCCCCGTTGTATGCAGCGGTTGACGGCAGATGGTCAACTTGGGCCTCGTGGTCCGCATGCGGTCCCGATTGTTCGAGAGTAAGGAGGAGATCCTGCAATGACCCCCCGCCGAGCAACGGCGGTCGTCCCTGTCAAGGCAAGGACGTCATCGTCGAGTCTTGCTCCGCGGATCGATGTAATGGTGAGCCCCCAGCCGTGTTTTCGCTTCTTATTGTTCTTCGTGACTCGCACTCGATGCCTAACGATTTATTTGGAACAAGCGGTCCTTTTAGCTCTGCATTCGATTGCCATTCGTAAAATTTGATGACTTTGCATGCACGATGACTCATCGATATAATACCAGTGGATAAAATTGAAATCCGCTAGAACCTTCCAAAATGATTAATTGTTCTAGCCTCGTGACGTAAATTGTTGATGTAAAATTATACGTTGTATCTTTGTCATATTTGAAACAATTCCCTGTGCTTATTGCATGCAGCCCTTGGGCAAGACGGGCCAAGAGTATTCAAGGAAGGTAAAATAAACTAGTTGAATTATTTTTAAAATGCTTCCTTTTAAAATAGCAAAAAAAAAAATACAATAGATATTTTTCCTTGTAGCGACTAGAGCGGTCGATTACAGAAATATCCTCGCATTATGGATCACTTTGAGTTTAGCCGCGATAATTCTGGCCGTAACGACGATTTTCTTCGTTCGCTTGATGCGCCGGAAAGAGAGAATGGAAGCGTTATACGGCGTTGCGAGATTGGATTTTCGTCGTCCGGGTGATCTCGCAAAAACAGTTTCGAAAAACGAGCGCTCGGTTTTGGCTACCGACAGACGTCTCGAGCACGTGATTGACGAATCGAACGCCACTAGGCTACCCAGGTATACATATATATGTATATATATATATATATATATACCAATCAAAATAATGAGAACATGGTACATAATACGAATCAGCATCCAGTTACATTTACATAATTTTACGATGCTCTGGCGCAATGTGCAGATCCTGTTCCGAGCATCATTATGATGTTCCGCAATTGTCATTACCGTCGACAACAAGACCATCGCCAAGCTCCTCCGTAACCAGGTCTTCTTGCAAGAACTCGCAACGAGGGCGCGGCATGTCGGATAATGAGGAGGGACGGTCTTCCCGTAAGAAATTTCCATAAATTTGAGCGCACGAGAGCTCTTTATACAATCAGTTTCGATAAATCTACTTCCCTGCCAAATTATCGAAAATAAATATCCTTGACTCTCTTTATACTTATTTTGAAACGAATTCATTTTTAAACTTCGCGAAAATATTTAATAAATTTAAATAGATTTTTTCCACGCGCGCACAGATGAAAGCTTTTCATCTATCGCAAGTATGTATATTCTCAGGGTCGACGTATCAAGCGAATCCAGAAAGCACAAACGAAGATGACGATGAACAGGACGATGATGAAAGACCAGATGAGAATGAACGGTCTGCGATGGATGACGGTAGTGGCTTCATCGTGAGAGCCATAATCGATGAGCAAGGCGCCCTTCTGGTCGTACCCGAAGTGGGCGTTTCGATGTCGGTGCCGGAAGGTGCAATCCCGCGCGGTCGTCGGCACAGTCTACATCTCGCCGTACTTGGAGAAAATTCCTTCAGACCGAATCTTCCACCTGGATTTACACTGCTGTCCGCCGTGGTGGCCTGCGGTCCCGCGAACGTTGATCTCGTGAAGCCGGTGATCCTCCAGTTTGAGCACTGCGCCGACCTAAGAACTGGAAATTGGGAGCTGAGCCTGTGGTCGACAGAGATCGATCTAGAGACGCGTTCAAACAATTCTACGAATTCATCGACGAGCTCGAGCGGTTCGCCGTCTGTGACGACGTGGCGCAAGGTGCTGATGCTCGGTGGTGATCCAACGAATCTACCAGGTCAACCGTTCGCGCAACTCGATCATGCTGGTGTATTCCTCGTCACGGAAACACCTAGCGTTTTCGCGGTAGCTGGAGAAAATTCGGTGGTTGCACCCGGATTGGCTATAAAACGGCTTTGCGTTGCGATCTTCGTGTCTCGCGAACGCGATTATATAAGATGCCACGTACTCGGAGACACCAAGGCATCATTCAAGATCATAAGCGAACGAGTGAGTACAAAATATATATTTTAAATCTTTATAAATATATGTCGTATCTCATTATTCGTTAAATAAATAAAATAAATAATAATATTTGTGACTTCCCAAGAACAAATCCAATACAAATAAAATTGAGCTTCCGTGATAATTAATGCATAAATTATATATTCACAAGCGATAAAATACAATTTGCAAGCAATTAGGATGTATACTAATAGCAAACAGAATTAAAATGCAAACTCACAAACGTTTTGATTCTGGATTTGAGTTCTTCTCTTCAGTGCAACATCAGGTTCCACTTACTAGACCGGAATAAACTTACATTAGCAAATAATAATCAGTGAAATTGAGTACAAAATGAAATAAATAAAGGAGAACCTTTATATTAAATTATTATTCGTATAATACGACTTCTTCGTGGTTACTATATTCGCGGATTGTGTGCAATTCTTTCGCAGGAACGTCATTTGGGTAGCACTTATATCAGTCATAATAATCTCGGATTTCGCGCCAGCGGCACATCGCTCTGCGTCGATCTCGAAGACAGAGAGAGCGGTTTTGCCGAGCGACAGGAAGTACCTTACCGTCGCATTTGGGCATCCTCGAGGATTAGTATCCGGCGCTCCTTTAGGATAGAAAAAGTTATTGGCGACCTCAGACTTGGTTTTGAGCTTCGTGCTTGTCAACGTGGTTTTGAGGATCAGGGCTTGCTTGTCAGGATCGATCTAGATCATGTAAAAAGGAATAACATGAGTGGAAAGAGAAACAAGACGGAATCCTCTGTCGTTTTACGAGGAAAGAACTCAACGAGATCCACAGAATCCGTCATACCGAGACCCTTCAGGTATTTTTTATATTTATTACGTTAAAAGTAAAATTAAAAAAATAAAATGTATATTTTTACATTTAACAATAAAAACTTTAATGAAACTAATGTGTAACATTGAATTTTTATAATTGCAGATTTTCTAAGACGCTTAGAAAGCAACTATGTCAATGTCTAGATCCGCCAAGTGCACGCGGTAATGATTGGCGAATGCTAGCTCAGAGACTGCAAGTAGACCGGTGAGTTTTAATTCTTTGTATCTCATATTTTTTTACGATCTGCAAAGTGGTTTAAACTGAGACGATATTTCAAGATATGTCGACTACTTTGCAACAAAAGCGAGTCCAACGGAACATATTTTGGACTTGTGGGAAGCCAGGCACCGTGAAGCCACGGCTCTAGCGGATTTACTGAATCATTTAAGACTGATGGGACGCGTTGACGCAGCCAACGTACTCGAGAGTCGTTTGGGGCCATGGATCTAAAAGATCATGAAAAATTTACACTGCCTATATAAGCGAACGAAACGCGAATTTGTACTACAAGAGACAAAAGTTTTGTAAATAAAGTAGCTATTAAACGGTATCAGTAAAATGGACGTAGAAACTTATGTTGTATAAACATTGAGCATATTTGTACATAAAAGTCGTTTACAACAAATACCTATAATATATTGCATTCTTTTTCCTCATATTCCTCTTTTTTTATTTTTATATAAATTGTAATAAAAAATAATTATTTTAAATTAACTTTACATTTCAATTTTCAGTAGTTGATTATATATTTTTAAAAAGTTCTAATTAATTTAAAAAGAAATTTTTAATTACTATTTTATTCATGAAAAAAACGGATACTTAAAATTATATTTATAAAATGTATGTAAGTCTGATATTGTTCTATTGATATGTTCCTGAGATCAACACACACATACATCTCATTGAATATTACGCAACAAAAATGTTATCTCTTACATTAATTTTTTAAAATTAAATTGTGATTTGTATTTTTTATTATTAATAAATTCATATCAATTATAATTTATTTGCGCTCGTTCCAACCAATTGCTTTCGATAATTGATGCAAATTCCACCTAATGAGACGTGCTTTAACGAGCATGACCGAGCGTTCAGGAAGGTCGGAAATCACAAATGACATTCATGGCCGCATGTGCCAATTTGCACCTGAATGCCGATCATCATCAGGCCAGGTATCCGGCGGTCCTTGAACAGAATCGGACGAAGCGGAAGCCAGGTTGAGGATTCAGTGGCAGCCGTATTTAGGTGGGTATTTAGGTACCATTCGAACGTATCGTATCGCGACGCAAGCATTCGAGGATGGCTTCTAGGTATCACGTCCTGGACCAAGGATGCGTAGGATGCTCGGAACAATGGGCATTATCCCGCCACCGTATAGGGGTAAAGGTTGAGGGGTTTGGGAAGGTATAGGTATGCTACGGATGGCAGAACTAGCAGCCCTCGTACAGGTATGTATCCCTCTGCTTCCTCTACCCCCCTTTCACCTCCCATTCCCTTTAGTTGCTCTTTCTCTCTTCTCTTCTCTCTCTCTCTCTCTCTCTTCTCTCTCTCTCTCTCTCTCTCTCTCTCTCTCGCTCTCGCTCCTCTCCTCTCCTCTCCTCTCCTTTCCCTACTATATGCTTCTCTGTTGCTCTCTCTGTGTGTTTCTCTATCTCTCTCTTCTCCTCATATACTCTCCAGATCCTCTTGGAAGCATGAGAGGCGGAGCATTTAATCACAGGGGCACGTTGGTGGTAATTCCACTGGACAATGCCTGTTGACCCGAGTCGCCAGGGATGGTGTACCGGCCACCCTTTAACGCTATGCGATTCGCTAACCACGAACTCGAATATCTCTTCTCTCTCTCTTTCTTTCTTTCTCTTGTAAATTCTCATTGTTTTATTTTCTTGCAATGTGATTCTCTTCATTTATCTGTTTTTATAATACTTCTTTTTTTTATTGAAAACTTGTTGCAATCATCATAGGAGTGTAGAGTTGATCGTTTGATAACGTTAAAATGTCACAGTATCTACGTTTTTTTTTTAGAATCTGATCTAAATTGTGGTCAAAGTATACAAAAAAGAAAATTGGCAATATATCAATTAAGCTTTTAATGAATCTGTGTTAAAATCATATTTGTTAGGATAACACGCGTAACAAGGAGTGAAGAGCAAGCTGTAGTCGATTACAGCTAACGTTGACTGTTTCTTTAGCCATTTAAAAAAATATGAACTAATGTTATTGGCTACCTTCAACATGTGTTTATCGGGTAAACGACTCGGGGAAACAGCAGGGTATCACGTTTCAAGACGCATGATCGTTTACGATAAGTGAAGAGCTAACGTCCGTAGCAAACATTGCTCTTGGACGGATCTTTAAACGTTGTACGATGTCGCGGTTACGCACGAGTTACCGACACGGTGCGTGCGTAATCCACGGGTGGGTCACACATAAATCGCAGATACAGGATCGTATTAATTTCCCGGCTAATCGCGATTGGGATCTACAGGCAATTACGAGAAGGATCGGTGAATCAGATTGTACGCGCGCCGCTTTACTCGCTTCCGTTAACGCTCCGCAGAGTCACGCACACGCGGGTAACGCACCGCGCGCTTGTACCAGACCCCGCTACCGTGCGTACAAAACGCCCACACCGCGCGAGGGTGCCGCTCGAGGGTGGTTTATGAATCGTCCAGACATATCGCGATCGAATGACGTGGAATCGGCTTCGTATATGTGGCTGGTAAAGTCATTAATTCGCGCGGTAGGCCGACGCGTAGGGTGACCAAACACAACATCAACCCGCCAGCGGGTTTTTAGCCACAGACCCACACGCCCAGTAAGATTGATTTTTGCTTCACAGAGATATCAACACGTCGCGTTATCAAATCGTGAATCTTAGTATTAAATCAAGAGCGAAGGTATCTCCTTCTGAGTGAACGTAATGAGTGCTTTAAGATTTGAATGACGGTAGCTATTAAAGGAACGTCGGTGAATTTATCGCAACGCGGTCCCGTTAAAAACGTAAGATGTACATACGGACTGTCTGCGGAGTGAATCTACTCGTAATAAAACATGGTTGTAAAAAGATGCGTATAAGTTTTCCGGATAACGATGTGCACGTTGCGGTCGGTGCATGGTGTTGCAGGTCGCCGAGCCGGCGTGTAACGCGAAACTCGATGGTATATCGTCTTTCGAATAATTACTTTTCGTCGAAAGGAAATGAAGGAGGATCCCGAGGATACAGAGGAGTATACGACCGTTTCGGGAAGGTTGCCGCGTCGCGCTAACGAAAGAAAGATCTTACGAGATGCGCGTGGAGGCAGCCGAGATCTTATCGAGGATTGCGCCGGACACTCAAGCCTGGGGAATCCAATCGTAAATGACGAAAAGTGAAGTTACGAAGCCACCGATGCGAAGAGTTATGCGTGTGGAATAAATTAACCAGTCTTAAAATCTTTTTCGTCCAAACGAAACAGAAATATATATATGGTAGGTTAAATTAAACAACAGTAAATGTCGCTCTTTTACAACGACTATATTTGTCGTATCTTCTCCTATTATTTTCCTAAAATGTATTTTTCGATTTAATCGTGTTATTTTGTATTACATTCCCGGCATTTCGTGCTAAAATATATTAAAGTACGGAATGTCTGTTTACCGTTATGCAAATATATGATAAATATGATCGAATAATTAAACGCATGACGGTGTTGAAAATTTAGATACCGACATAGCGTGCGTCGCGATAAAATAGCGATGTAATAATAGGAGGGGAATATTGCCATTCATCAAGTTAACTCGTTAGCAGCGGCCGGCATTAAAAATGTTCGAAAAACCGCTTATGCGCGTAAGCGTGTGCGAGAAAGTTTTGCGACGGGTGAAAATTTCCGGAGCGGAAACTACCTCCAAAATGGCAGCGGAAGAAAGAAGAGCATTTTTTCACTGTCGTTCGCCAGGATTTTTGTAACGTTACCGAAACAAAAAGCCTGCAGCCACATAGTTCCGAAACAATTTCGTCGTGGAATTCTACGACATTCGCGGCTAAAAGGATAGCAGAAATTTTCACGCGTATTCCATATATGTGGACAACGGTATGTACAGTCGAAAATTGTTGTCAAAGAGGAAATAATTAAAATCATTATAACTATAATGTCAAAAAACAGAATTTATGATTATACAAGAACGCGCCATTTGTTACACGTACAAGAATAATTTTTTGATTATTTTTAAACCAAAAGCATTATCGTGTGTGTCCCCAAATTAATGATCTTAATATATTTTAACGAAAATATATCTGATACATTTATTATTTTATATACTTCAATAATTTTTTTTCCTTCTCAAATTTTCTAATATTAAACAGCATCAGAATCTTATACAAAATTTAACACAATTATATGAAAATATCACCATTGACATTAATAAAAAAACAATAAAATCTTGATTATTTTTTAGGTTACGATAATAGAATAATTTATGGTATATTGCATAATAAAATAACCTGCTTTTATTCTAGCGTTTATATCATTGTGTTGAAGAAACGAGCGTGTTGTATCGGAATATATACGGAGACAATGAAATACTTCGAGCCTCGTGAACTTGCTCAGCGCGCAATTCTATTCCCTTCGCGGCGGTAAATGTGTATCAATGTCTTGATTTGCTCGTGTCACTACGTGTCTTCCTTCGAGCCGGAACGACACACCGCAGCCATCTACGCAAGGCATTTGCATGGGAACGCCCGGCTTTAATTCGCGTAGCGGCGACCTGCTGGCGGTGCTGAATTATGCTAGCGGCGTAATTTGCATAACCCTTGCAGCAGGCCGGCCCCGATAAATGACGATTCGCGGAAAATTGGCCCCCGGTCGCGGCGCGTACCCCTCACCCCGAATTAAATCCCGCTTAATTAACTGAAGTTTACAGCACGGACGAGAATCGCCGCAATCTCGTCCGTTGCGGCCACGCTTAAGCAAGCGTCGCTGTCACGTAAAATCGTAAGAACTTTCCGTTCGGCGTTTACGATTCACGTGTCTTACGATATTAACTTTTCAGCATCCAATTAAATGTAATAATTATAAAATAATTTATTTAATTTTATAACACATAACTAACTAACTTCCTTATAACTTTCTTGAAGGTTTTTTTTTTCATATTAATCATGCTGTCGATATTAATTAAATCAGTATCTTCTCAGGTTTCCTCAAATCAATAATAAGCCTTGGACAACAGCTATGTCGAAAGCTGTATCATGTAATTACGCTCTTAGGATATTGTCGGATAACAACTGAGAACATTGAAGTTTCAAAGTAGCGTTTAAGTCAAGGAAGTCGTTAGTTAACCTCTGAACTTTGCTGTTCGAACAGAAGAAGAAAAATTCACGTTTACCAGTGCCCTTCTTTAGAAACACGTATATATCGGAATGAATAGCTTCGATTGGTTTACCCTTAAGGCCCCACGTCATTATGTCGCAACAGCCAATTTTCACTATCCCTTTCGTTGCATTCTTCATTTCTACAATCGCCAATCACGCCAACCGTGCGAATTAACAGTAAAACCTCTGGTTACTAGATCGTTTCG